CAAGAGAGTACTGGTGGCCGAAGCGTGAACGAAAATGAATTTGTGGGTCTGAATGGGTGAGACAAGGTCACATTTAAACTTTTGCAGTTTGATTTCAATGGCGGTCATGAATCGAGGAATTCATGTCGACTTACATTGCTAGCATGATAGAGAAATTCGAGGGACGATAGCTTTGCGAGCTTTTCTCGGAGGTCGGTAATAACAGACAATAAGATCAGTGGAGGATATCACGAAATTTCGAGGAGAGATGGATCAACACAAAATTTTGAGGGCTTTGCAGTTGAAATCGTCGAGTTCGTCGACAAATTTCACTAAAGAATTGATCTATGCGATGATACATTTACTTCAAAGGACCCTGGAATGGTCGAGTATGGAGAATGATTCATCGTTGAAGTAGGAGTGGGAGGGCGAGGGTGAGGATGAGTAGTAATTTGGGATTAGGGTTTATTAGTAAATTTTAAGAATTTATTTTATTTTTTAAATATTACACATCATAATTTAAAATTAATAAAAAATACATATTATCATTGTATACTAATAAAATAAACCACATCATCTCGCTGTTAAAAAGAAAATAGTTGAGTAACCAAAAAAATCTAATGTATAAAGTTCAGTAAGCTAATTGAAAAACTTGAAATTACGGTGAGCAAAATAGGAAAGAGAGTAAAATTTAGTGAGTACTCGTGTAATTTACCCTTAATTTAATTATTGGTGGCATTGGAACAGGGAAACCGACACTTTTGCTTTAACAGCAAGAATTTGTATAGGTTGGTTGATTTTAACATTGAAACTAGTTCATTTAATTTTGTTATTTTGAAAGCTTAAGTAATCATTTCACTGTTTTTCAACTACCCTATGAGAACGACACATTTTCATTAAGTTTTAACTTGCTTTTAAATTAATGTAATACAAATGATTAATATGTTAATTTCGTTTATAGATTAATTTTTTTAATTTAATTGATATCATTATTATCATGATATATATACGATGATACAAATTTATATATTTTTAAATGGGATAAAATCGAGTTACATAACGTAAAGCTCTCTTAGTTTTATATGGATTTATGATCGTTGGATGATTGAAAATAAATGGTTGAGATTAAAAGTATAAAATATGAAGATTATCACTTGGGAGAAAAAAATAAGGAGTTAATTTCAGCCTTTTATTTCACTCATCCAACGGTCTTAAATCTTTATACAACTAAAGAATTTTACACTGTGTAAATAGATTATAACTCATTTTAAATATATTTTCTATTTTTATATATGGGAAGAAACTTAGAGATAAACTTTATGTTAAATTATAGTAATTTAAAAAAAATGAAAAAACAAATAATTGTTAAATTTTTATATGAAAAATAAAGGAGGCCTATGGTTGACTTTTAGGGATATAAGAGAATCGGGAAACCTTAGTCTCCCGCCCTTAATTACCCGATTAAATTCCACGTGACATAATTAGGACATTGATGCAAGCTTTAATTCTAGGGTTTGGTCAAACATTATCTGATAATTCTTGTCCTTACAAAATATAGTATGGGCCATATATTTGATTGCCAACAACCCTCAAAAGCTATATAATCATAATCATAATCATAATCAAGAAACATTAACCCTAAAATCATGTGAAAGTTACATCAGTACAACTGTAACTTTATTATCGGATACTAATTAATAACCATTAATTCTATTTAATCTTTTTGTTAAATAAAATCTTAATTTTAATTCATAAATAAAAAATATTATGTAATACTAATTATAAAGAATGCAATGGAAACTCTTATAGCAGAATTCAGTAATTTTAAGGGAAAACAATCGACCTACCAAAGCCATAAACACCTGTCAACTTTTTCCAATTTTGTTAACAGTTTCCACTAACGTAAAAAAGAATAAAAACAAAAACCCAAATTACAAAATTGGGAATTTTTTTATGCTTGTAACTGTTTATATACATATATATTGGTGTAAAATGATAATGTTATAGTCACAGGCAATGTACATATAAAGCAAGCGTGTGTGGCTTTGGATTCTTCTGGCTATTGGCTAATCGTGCTGCCAGCTTTTGCCTTGGTTATGAACTAATGGCTAAATAAGTAATAAATCTACAACAGAAAAAAAAACAAGAATAAGAAGAAAAGGCGTGTTAAAACAAGCCATTTTTTAATTGTGGGAAGGGACCAGTTTGGAGAAAGATGTTGAAGAATTGGAGGAAAGCTTTGATTTTGGTGCTGTTTACAGTCTGCATTATGGGGTTTAAGGCTGGATTTGTCAATGGCGAAACGGATCAAGGAGATGGTTAGTGTTACTTTGTTTTGCTTTTCTGATTTATTGTTTTTAGATTCATTTATTTTGTAGTTGCTTGCTTTTTCATTGCCGAATCTGTGGTATTTGGTTGGAATTTGCTTTCTGCTTTGCTTATCTGTTTTGAGCTGCTCGTGGCTTAAAATGGACTTGTTTAATTGCAATGGCATTTTAACTTTGTCGTTGGTGTTTATTTTGGCCTTGATTATCTTTTTTTTTTTTTTGGCGTTTCTCTTGATTGCTGCTGACCAGACTACCTTAATGGCTATAACTTGCTGAACCTATACTGGCAATCGAAATGATTCAGTTAGAGATTAACTCCGAAAGTCATGGCACTTTATGTCTGCCTATATAATCTTAACATTTGATAAGCTCTATCTATTTGTAGATTTTGTTTTGGATTAGGTTTTTGCTGATAGTTATCAATAAAACCTCTTTCTATTAATGGTCCAATCCAATCGGGGATATATTTTATCCTGCAGCTGCCAAAAACAATTTTCCAAAATGTTGAAATGGAAATATTGGGGGATGGGTTTGATTCACATCCCAGTTTTCTGCTTAGAGGTTGATACTTGAAACTGAGATGAATTAGTTTTCGGATTCCTGGTTTCATTTTTGTTCTAATATTTCTAGCTAAATGTTGTGCCTAGAAGTGTTGTTTAATGGAGGTTTAGCTTTAGCTGGTCATGTTGTTTAATGGAAGTACTTATAATTAGAAATTATCTCCTTGTGTTACTCATTCTGCATGTTGGGATGCTTGATGTGCAGCGTCTGCTCTAGGGGCTATGTACAGTGCTTTAAATTCACCACAGCAGCTAGCCGGGTGGACCGCTAGCAACGGTGATCCATGCGGGCAGTCCTGGAAAGGTGTTACTTGCTCAAACAAACGTGTCACCGAAATGTGATCTTCTGTTATCCACTTATCCCTGCTTTACTTTGAGAGATCTTACCATACATCTTGCTAATATTAACTACATTATGTTCTTCTATCGTCTTTTTCTCAGTAAACTGTCGAATCTTGGACTTTCCGGGACAATGGGTTACAGCCTTCAAAGTTTGACATCATTGAAAGAATTGTAAGAAATCTGTAATCTTTAATAGTGTATCGTTTTGTTCTATGTTCATCATCTGATTCAGACTGATGTTTTGACAAAACCTGCAGGGACTTGAGCCATAACAACCTTGCTGGAGACATACCATATAATCTTCCTCCAAACTTGCAGCGATTGTATATTTCATTTGTGCATTTGTTTCCTTTTCATTTTCTTTTCTTTAAATGATTTATATATAATGTTCATCCGAATGCAGAAATCTCGAATCTAATCAATTTACCGGAGGCGTCCCTTTTTCCATCAGTCTGATGTCTTCTCTTCAATACCTGTAAGTAATGTTCCAAATATTCATCTCTCCATACGAGGTCCTTAGAGTTAGACATTTAAAACTTTTAACCCTCTTTTCTTTTCTGCTTTCCTATTTCTGGAAAATTCAGGAATCTTGCTCATAACCAGCTGCAGAATGCCTTGAGCGACATGTTCGGATCGCTTTCATCCCTCTCCGCATTGTAAGATGTTCACATTATACAATGTTTAATTGCCCGTCTTTAAGCTATTTTAACCGAAAGACCTAGTTACATTTTATCTTTATTCCTTGCTTCAGGGATCTCTCTTTCAATTCTATTACCGGTTCTCTACCCGAGAGTTTTAAGAATCTTACCAATATAAGCACTATGTAAGTATTAGAGGAGATATCTTTTGTAGAACGCTTTATATGATGTATTTTCCTTATATGTATTATTTACCCTTCTGTAGGTACTTGCAAAACAACCAGTTTTCGGGAACTATCGATGTCCTTGCAAATCTTCCCCTTGATAAACTGTGGGTAACCAACATACCATTGTGAAATTTCTAGATGTCATATATTGTTTTCTTATTATATAATTACCCTATGAGACTGCAGTTTGTGATAGTTGTTGTTCTTTTTTGGTGTCACAGAGATGTTTCCAATAACCGGTTTACCGGCTGGGTTCCTGATCAATTGAAAAGTATCAATTTGAAGTACGTGTTCGACCACATTGTTAACTTTTGAGGTTTCTTATGGTTTCGAAGAAAATTCTTTGTAATTTCAATCTGGATAATCTTTATGACAGGACTGACGGTAATTCATGGAGCTCAGGGCCTGCACCCCCACCTCCACCTGGTACTCCTGCTACTAGAAGCACCAGAAAGCACAAATCTGGTAGCAATGGTTCCAAATCGGGTGGTGGTTCCAGTGGTGGGAGTAGCAGTTCAGGAATTGGAGGTGGAGTCATAGCTGGAATAGTGATATCAATCCTCATTGTCGGAGCTATTGCAGTGTTCTTTTTGGTGAAGAGAAGATCCAGGAGGTCGTCCTCGGATATTGAAAAACTCGATAATCAACCCTTTGCTCCTCTTGCATCTAATGAAGTGCAAGGTAACTCTTGTAGTCTACTGAATTGATGCCAAGTCTTTCGGCTTTTAACACATTTTATAGTTCTCTTGATCTAACTCTTTGTTTATCATGCATGAAATTGTATTGCAGAAATAAAATCCATGAAGTCTTCATCTTCATTTGACAGCCAGGCCCTTGATACACCCCTTTCAATAAATCTTCGACCCCCTCCTGTCGAACGTCACAAATCATTAGATGAAGAAGAGTTCAATAAAAAGCCTATTGTTGTTAAGAAAGCTGTACCACCTCCAACAAATGTTAAATCATATTCAATAGCAGACCTCCAGATGGCTACAGGCAGTTTCAGTGTTGAAAATCTTCTCGGTGAAGGGTCTTTTGGACGTGTTTATCGAGCTCAGTCTGGCGACGTCAAGGTAGAATCTTGCTGCATATAAAATCCATAGTCAAGTCATAATAAATGGAGCATTTTCTGTGCTTGAATTTTTATAGCTATTTCAATTTTTTACATGCTCTAACTTGAGAAATAATCTTTTCATCTGCATATTTAATCTTCTAATCACCGATATCATCGACCTTCATAAGTTCCTCCCACCCCCCCAATTGTTTGCCATTTTATTTCCTTAAATTCTTTTAGAAATGTTATACTCGGTACTCACCTAGCAGGTATCTTGTGTTCATACTGCCATAGGTTCTTGCTGTGAAGAAAATAGATTCATCAGCTCTTCCCAGTGGAATGTCTGACGATTTTATGGAAATGGTTTCAAATATTTCCCAGTTGCATCACTCAAATGTGACGGAGCTGGTCGGATATTGTTCGGAGCATGGACAGCACCTCCTTGTCTATGAGTTCCACAAAAATGGTTCACTTCACGACTTCCTGCATATACCAGATGAGTACAGCAAGCCATTGATTTGGAACTTGCGAGTCAAAATTGCTTTGGGGACTGCACGCGCACTAGAGTAAGTCAGAAATTCAGTCGGGCAATTATAGCTATTATTCGTTGTAGAATTTTTGCCCATTCGTATTACTGGACCCGTTCGAACCTTGCAAAGTCAGGTAGTTTCTGATGAGGTTAACAATATCGGCAGTATTAGTTATGTCCGACTGATTATGGTTTCGAATTAACCATTTCTAAGTTGCTAGCAGATTAAGCAGAGTACATGTTGACTATTAGGAATCTTTAAATATTCGTTAAGATCGAATACATACTATGTGCTGCTGTAAAGTCATCTAGGAAGTTGAAACTTTCATTCCTGCAGTGATTATATATATTGCAAATGAGCAATGGTGACTCGGAATTCTTAAAAGGATCTTTTTATGCTTCAGGTACCTGCATGAAGTTTGCTCGCCATCCGTCGTTCATAAAAATATCAAGTCAACAAACATCTTACTTGATGCTGAGCTCAATCCTCACCTTTCTGACTCAGGCTTGGCAACCTTTATTCCGAACGCAGATGAGGTACATTTTGTACTGTGTTAATGCTGAAAGTGACTGATGAGAATCCAGAATATGAAAATACCTTGACCTATATTAACCATGGTCAAAGACTCAATGTACCGTAAGGGTTTCAGTTGTTACTCGCGTACGTACTGAAATCGTCTCACTTTGGTATGCAGGTATTAAATCGTGACGATGCAGGTTCTGGATACAGTGCACCGGAGGTTAAAATGTCTGGCCAGTACTCTCTAAAGAGTGACGTTTACAGTTTTGGAGTGGTTATGTTGGAGCTTCTCACTGGACGTAAGCCGTTTGACAGGTGAGGAATAATTGTCTGAAAGTCGGGTAGTCCATTCATGGTGTTAGCTTCCTGTTAGTTAACCACAATTCTAACTATCATGTGACTGTTTTATTACAGCACAAGGCACAGACTAGAGCAATCTTTGGTTCGATGGGCAACACCTCAGCTCCACGACATTGATGCTCTATCCAAGATGGTTGACCCGACACTTGAAGGGCTTTACCCGGTTAAATCTCTCTCTCGTTTTGCAGATGTCATTGCTCTTTGTGTCCAGGTAATGCCTTGACTGAAAAACGAAATACTTGTGTTTGTTCGTGTTTTTGCCTTAATTAACTCTAGTATCAAAGTACGTGTTCCTAACATATAGGAAGACGAGAGAACTTGTTAAATGCAAGTCACCAATGTAGACATAAACTGATCTTTTTTACTTTCTTTCTTTGGTGCAGCCGGAGCCCGAGTTTCGGCCACCTATGTCGGAAGTGGTCGAAGCATTGGTTCGGCTCGTGCAGCGAGCTAACATGAGTAAGCGAACAACAGGGACGGACTAAGGTGCATCTCCGCGAACCAACAACGCCAATGATACACATGACTGCATGTAATGACTAAAGATCTCTTGCTTGATTGTTTTGGTGATGAGAACTTTGAGATTGTAATCATGTTCAAATGTTTTATTTTTGGGGTTCATTGTAAAATAATTATACGTCCCTTAACTTTAGTTTTGGTTTCAATTCAGTCCCTGCAGTTTGTAATATGTTGCAGTATAGTCCAACTGGTGATACCCTCGAATTGAAATTCTTTCACCCTTCTGTACATGTACTTTTAGAGTTTTTATCCCTCTAAAATAAAAAGGCATGCAGTATTCTCTTAATTATTTTCTTTCGTACTCATAAATCAAAGAATATTACGTGTTCATCTCCCTTGTTCGCCAATGATCAACGTCCTCTTTTACCAGTAAGGCTCGACTATCGTCTGTGTTTCCATTTGCATTCCAACCCCTTTGTTTCTTTGACTAGTCAGAAACCCTTAGAATACGTATGTTTCCTCCATCAATGGCCATCGATTTCAAGACCCTACGGTGGCCTTCGGAGGAGGGAACTTGTACCTTTGCCTCCACCACGGTTAATTGTGACCACCACGATGCACCACACCCAAGCCAAAGTCTTAAGCTAAAACTAAATTTGGAAATTGGTTCACCTTTGAATTAGTCTGGGTACTCAAATGTTCTTGGTTTTATTAAAATGTCTTTGAACACATTTGAAGAAAATTCTTTTTGTTGACTGAATGATTATTGTCTTGTACTTGTTCTAGAATGTGAATATTTTGGTTCCAGTCTTGTTGTGAATAATGATCAGTGATGAGCGATAATTGACTGACAGATAATTGTAAAAGTGATGATTTTTTTTTTATGGAAAAATGAAGAAGAATTTAGTGTTAAAACGATATATAATCTAAAGGTTCAGTGACTAATGGTATAATTTAACCATAAAATTATACAAAGCCCACATTTCTTTGGCAAAAATTAACTTATATATATATACGTATATAAAGATAGCTGAACATATTCAACCCAGAGACGGCCGATTGAGAGGTTTCGAATTCGACGGCGAACCAGATTAACCCCCTCACTTTTCTGTAACAGTTGCAGTTTCCGCTAGAGATTCGAAAGAATGGCACCAGAACCAGAAGATGACATTAAGGACGAGAAGAACCCCCGGCCTCTTGACGAAGACGATATTGCACTCCTCAAAACCTATGTAATTTAGCTCTCTTTCTCTCAGCATGTCGGCTATAGGAGATTGCTTCCATTTTTTTATATTATATTATCTGTTCTGTTGAGAAGCGATCATAGGATCTACCTCTAATTTCTAGGGTTTTTGAAAGAAATGGGCATGGTAATTTTTATGCTCCGGGTTTTTTATTTAGGTCTTTTGATAGTTTTTAATTAACTACAAATTTCGTTTCATATTTGCAGGGTTTAGGGCCTTATTCAAAGAGCATCAAGAAAGTTGAAAAGGAGATTAAGGAAATGGCAAAGAAAGTAAATGATTTATGCGGTATGCGATTTACCCCTTGTCTTAGGGCTTGTGTTGCTGTTTTCGAAGCTATTTGTTGGCTGCATTTACCTATTTTCTTGTATTATTTAGATTAACTTTTTTTGTTACCCCTTGTCTCAGGGCTTGTGTTGCTGTTTTACGAAGCTATTTGTTGGTTGCATTTATCTGTTTTCATGTATTATTTAGATTAACTTTTCTTTTTGTTGATAAGTGTCTAGTTTGCAACTCTTACCAGCTATATTAATGTAGCATGCTAGCTTGTATTATCGCATAAAAATTCTGCACTGGTTGTGGTCTATGAAGCATAAACTAGTTGCTCCTTCCTTTTTGTCCCTAGATTCAATGGTTCCTGGTTTCTGACCAATGTTCGCTGGGAAACTCTTTCCTTATTTCATAAAAATTTAGGATTTTTACATTTATGCAATATCTTTAACCATTGCAGTGTTTTCTTTTTTTATTTTTAGCTGCTAAGTGCTAACATAACATATTACATCATTGTGTTTGGCAGATATGGCTTTTCATGTTGGGGTATTGAGTTAATATTCAATTATTTTATTTTCTAGTTTACCATTGGAATTTCAACCTTCAAATTATTGTTTGTTAGCCACCATTATGATTTGTTGCAATATATGTCTATTTTTAACGTATTCATGTTTTTATGCTGGCCTACTTTGCAAAATAGGCATCAAGGAGTCGGACACTGGATTAGCAGCTCCTAGCCAATGGGATCTTGTCTCTGATAAACAGATGATGCAGGAGGAGCAACCGCTTCAGGTATTGTTAGAATGAGTTTTTATAGAACTGTGTATTTATGTTACCCTTTTATTACTTTGTTGATTATTTGTTTCATCCAGGTGGCTAGATGCACAAAAATCATTAATCCTAATACAGAAGATGCCAAATACGTTATTAATGTTAAACAAATTGCCAAGGTATGTATTATTAAAATAGTTTCTCAAACAAATATGTTTTTAACGTCAAAACAAATGTTTGTCAGTCTGATTATTGAACTTAAACATTCTTGAGTTAACATAGTTTCTTATTCAGAAGAAAAATAAACATAACATTCTTTTGGTCTGATATGCTTATGGATTCTAATTGCAGTTTGTTGTTGGGCTGGGTGACAAAGTTTCCCCAACCGATATAGAAGAAGGCATGTGTGTGGGGTAAGTTTTCAGTTTCCTGAAAGATCTCATGTTGAATCTTGTTTACAGATGTAGATTTTTATTTATTCTTGTACCCTTTGCCTAAAGTATTATATCATGTAAATGGTTTATTTCTCACTGCAGTTACATTGCTGCCTACATTTTTAGGGTCCGAAATATTTTTTGATTGATATGTAGTTGCAATATGGGTAGAATGTATAGATTATTTGCTTGTTGCCACCACCATTGGGGGCATATGGAAAACCCTTGGGCTTTGCCTACCGTGGTTTTGTACCACCATTGATTTCTCCTTTTGGCATTTTTCCCCTTAGAGAGAGATTCAACCTTGAGGACTTTACAGCATCTAGCACTGTAGCCAGGAAATGATCATTCGGTAAATTGTCACCAAGCATAACTATTCAAGCTATTCTTATGATACATTCATCTTATTTTGTAAGAAGGATAACGTGTAGTTGTTACTAAAAAATGGTAGTAGCATTTTATTCTATGCTTTTTATGAGTTTTCATTAATTCCTTCATTTTTTTTCTTATTGGAAGCAAATCATGTTCTTTGTCCTTGTATATTATTTTCCTTTATCATGTATCAGCTTCTTATTAGCTCCTGATTGTTATACTGCCTTTGCAGTGTTGATCGAAACAAATATCAGATACAGATTCCCTTACCTCCAAAAATTGACCCTAGTGTCACCATGATGACTGTGGAGGAGAAACCAGATGTGACATATAATGATGTCGGTGGAT